GGACTTGATATTAAAATTGGAAACAAGAAGAGGGATTTAATTAATTGTGGTAAAATATAAAGATATTAAAAGTTTGTTACATTTGAACATGGAGTGTGGGATGTATGAAGAACTACTTGAAATGTTAAAAGATGCGTGTGCAACACTAAAAGGTAATAAAGAACCAGAAAAAGAGCCAGAAAAATCATTGAAACACATAGAACAGGAAACAGGAGAGGAACTGGCAAAGTGGAACACAAATGAGATGCAGGAAATTAACATTGTACAAAAAGAAGCTGAAAATAAAAACCAGTTAGACAATTTTATGGAGATTTACAGAGGCACAGAAAGGGCAGAGAGGAAAAAAGGGAAATAGTATCCCCAAAAGGAACAAGCCAAATACAAAGAGAGAAATAGTGGGAAGCAAAAAAGAGAAATCTTGGGGAGGGTTATTCAATCAATCTATCGAAAAGTGATAGAAAAGATTCAGAAGAAAAGACATAATACATATAAAAAGAAAAAAAGAAAAGAAGAAGAAGCTAAGAACAGGGGATAAAAGGAGAAGTCAAAAAATTAATGGAAAGTGGAACATTAAAGAGAGTCAGAGATGAAATAAAAGAAAATTATTAGACAAGGAGAAAGGGAAAGAAAAGGATATATTAGAATAAAATGAAATGTTAATACTGGTAATGATATGTAGCTAATTAAGATGTGAGGGAATCATATTAACATTATTAATTGTGGAAACTAATTAAGTAAAATGTTTATTATACAAAAATTGAATTTGAGGATATACACTACCTATAGAAAATAGATGGGTTCCGCTTCCTGTGGGAGGAGCCTGTCGCCGAAGGAGCTCAACGGAGCCCCTNAGCCTTCAGCGCAGCACCATTTCCCACCAGCCTCGCCGAGCGCTCCGAAGAACACTCCGGGCTGCCGCGTGGGCCAGAGGACGTCTGGGAGTGTCGACCTTCCCAAAAGTCGTTTATTCAAGTCCCCCTGGATCTCACCCGGTTGCGGAGACCTCTTTTTCAAGGCTCCGACCCAAACCTTCGCTTTATTTCGGGGGGTTTTCTGCTCCACCAGACGGAGCGAAGGAAGCCGGCGGCCATCCCACCTCGCACATGCGCAATAGAATCTTCTAATACAATTAACATTCCTGTAGGCAGTTTACTAGAAAAAAAAACATCAAAAGAGTTAGCGGACAATTTATACGATTCACAAATGGAATGCTCAAAATCTCATTAATCTTTTCAACTGTGACAAGGGCTGTGGAAAAAAATCACAATGAGATTGCTGGACTGTTTTCCTTTGGTCAATAAATCAAATAAAGTACTTAGTAAATGTGCCGGCAAAGAAAAATACGGACGAACCCAAGTAAGGGTCCCCAACAACTGCCATAAATTAATTAGCAAAATACTTTCGTATACATTTAAACAAAGAAAAAAACGGAGCAAGAAGAGATTACAACATTTCATACACTTATATTTTTTCTGGAGCAATCTGCAATTCATAGACACTTAAATCATTTTGCATTTCTAAACGCCAATTAGGTAATATCTTTGGGGCTCCAATTAAAATATCATCCATATAATGATTTACCAAAGCAATTGGATCCAATTCTGCAACATAAATCTGACACAAAAAAGGACTAAGTAAATGTATAGATCAACCAACGAAATAACTTTGGACATTTTGCTTTTAGGTTCGACCCTTGATGGAAAGGGTGGGAGGCTGCAGACATAACCCTCCCTGGATTTTGACATTCCAAATTAGTTCGACAAGAGGCTGTTCCTATATCTTGACACACTTTAATCATATCTGCGAAATCAGGATCGTTCTCGAGACCAATAATTGCCCTCCGGCATTTGGAAGTAGCATTCTCCTTTGCTAAAAACATCAACAACTTCATCTGAGCCTCAGAATTATCTATCTGTCTTAAAGCATCCTGCAATCTGTTAACAAAATCAGGATACGGCTCAGTAGCCTTCTGCCTGATATTAGAGAAGGCTTGCCAGAAACAGGCACTTTAAAAACACACTCTTCCTGACCAGGATGGCCGAGGGGGAGAGAAAAAACAACAGGCACAGAGAAGACAGACTTTTCCTGATCAGCAGTAAAGTCAAACTTTTCCTGAAAAGTGGGGCAAAGAGGGATAGAAGAAAAGCAATCCTTTAAGCCAATTACTTCATGATCTTGTGGAATCAATTTAGGTGAACAGAAAGAAAACGTATCTTCTCCCCCCCCCTCTTTTGCTAATTGTTCCTCTGACCATGGAGAAGCAGAAGAATTAACCTCTCCATGAGGAGCTGAAAGTCCAATTAAAGATGATTTGGGGGGAATAATTTTTACTTGATCACAATCAGATGGAGGCTCTGTGGTCAATTGTTGTCCTGCCAAAACTTTAGAGCCAAATCTTTCCACTGCATGACGGCACTGAAACCATAGTTGTAATATCTCTACTGGGGCTACTACTCAAATCCTCACATACAGTTGTTGGAAGAAATGTCCATCTGGATTCAGTTCCAAGTGGAAAGAAAGACACTGGAAACATGGAGGCTGCTTGGAAAGATGGTTTAATGGCGTGGAGCTCCTGGGTGAAAAGGAACAGGGTGCTGAGAGTCCCTGGGTTTTATGTGTAGGTCTCAGAAATCCATCACAGCAGTGGTGTCCAAAATGTCTGTCTGCCTTACGCAGAGTTTATTTGGCTTTTATACAGTTTTAACAAGCAAAGCAAAAGNCCTAGAAGCCAAGAGGAACATACATGCCAAATTTCAAGTTTGTAGCGTTTACATTTCTGGAGATTTTGTGATGATACATGAGTGGTATTTCGCTTATATTAGATGTGGGAGATGAGAGAGGTTTTTAAGGAGTCCTTGGTGCTCTCTGAGCTTGCTTATTTTCTTGCAAATGTTCATTACCCTAACTAGGTAAAATCATCATGATATTGCCTAGTTAGGGAATGAAACACTTGCAAGAAAACAAGCATGCTCAGAGAGCAAGGATCCCTGATGTCAACCCTGATCTACAAATATTCTCCTTTATTGAAAGATGTTTTTGTTGAGTTTTCTTCTCAGCTCACTGCTATTCTGTCTGCAAAAATACTTTTTGGACCATGGGGCTTTCCATCATCTAGCCCAGAGCTGCAAACAGAAGGATGTGAGCCCAAATCAGTTTATCGCCATCTGTTACTTGTGAGAATCAAACCTCACTTGGGATAAAGACTAAAGAGATAATTCAGTCATTTCATATAATTTTCCTTACAAGTTAGTCAAATGGTGCTTTATTAAGATAAGTTCTTAAGAATGTTAAAAAATTATATATCCTTTAAGGAAAAAATTATTGGTATTAATCTGAAGGCTAGTGAATAACGAGCTCCAAAATCTGCATAAAATTGGGTTGAATGCATTACCTGGTTACGTTGCATTAACCTTCTCCAGACAAACTTGGCATCACTACAGTTCCCATAATCACCAGCTGCAGAATTCCACATTGGGAGGGTAGTGTTGGAAAGGGAAAGATATCAATCAGAATAGAGCTGGAAGGGACCTTGGAGGTCTTCTAATCCAGCTCCTCTGCTCAAACAGAGACCTTATACCATTTCAGACAAATGACTGTCTAATCTCTTCTTAAAAACCTCCAGTGATGAGCACCCACAACTTCTGACTGCAAGCTGCTCCACTGATTAATTTTCAGCCCTGTTAGAAAGTTTCTCCTCAATTCCAGGTTGCTTCTCTCCTTGATTAGTTTCCATCTACTTTTTTTCCCCTGCCCTCTGGTGCTTTGGAAAATAAATTGACCTCCTCCTCTTTGTGGCAGCCTCTCAAATACTGGAATACTGCTATCATGTCCCTTCTAGTCCTTCTTTTCTCTAGACTAGCCAAATCCAAATTCTGCAAATGAAGGGATGATGTTTGCTTATCTCTGAGATAAAGTTCTTTTCATTGACATAAATTTCCAGTCCTCATCTAAACCCACGGATGCTCAAATCTTTCTTTTGTGTTTCTCTTTAAAATTCCAAATTACCTTATTCTAAAATCATCTGTGTAGAGTGAAATGCTCCATTTCAGAGCATGAGATATCTTTATAATACAACACATTATCTAGTAACAAAAACCATAAAACCTGAACAGAGATATCCAGCCTTTTACTTTCTTGTGCTGATTTTTTTTATTAGTAAGGATTTTTAAATAGAAAGATGCTGAAAACAAATCTCCCTATATCGAGCACTTGTTAGACTGAAATGTTCCACAGTGCCTGCCTGCCTATTTCTGCCAAGGAACCAAAAAAACAACAACAATCTGACAGCTTTTTGTTGATCTCCTGCTTATAATCACTGGGGAAACCTCAGCTTTTTAGAAAGCCCAAGATACGATTCATTCTTAGATGTGAGCCAAATTACCAAATTAACTTGCACTGCTGAACTGAGACAACTTCCCATCTCTTGACAGCAGTCCTAGAGGGTCTCATCCATAGATACATTCCTCGCAAGATCATGTTCAGTGAGATGAGGTAGACTCATGTTTATCCTTATATGCTAGTGGGTAAGAAATGACAAGAGCAAACTGCCACATGGTATAATAATTACTAGACCAGTGAGGACAGATTTGAATCAGGTAATAAGTAGTTACTGTTCTTTTCTTAACAAAAGACATTTGGTCCTGATGATCAAAATGTTTATTTACTTTTAAATAAGACTGTAACAGGGGAGATACTGGGTTAGGCATAGAGCCGAGATGGCGCAGTGATTAGGATGCAGTACTGCAGGCCACTTCAGCTGACTGTTACCTGCAGTTCAGCGGTTCTAATCTCACCGGCTCAAGGTTGACTCAGCCTTCCATCCNATGTAATAAGAGCGGCAAAATGCGGACATTTCGCCGCCCGTATTGCCACGAGATAGTCTCTGATAAAGGCTCTCATCAGTGCTCGGTCTGACTCAGATTTACTGGCCCTCCAGCGGCGCTCTAGGTGTCTCTTTTGGTGCTTCATCTCCCAGAGTTCCTCGGTGAACCAAGGAGCCCTCAAGCAGAATCAACTGACCAAGCTGGTTTCTATCTCCAAGGCTCAGGGATCAACTTGGGCCACGTTCAGACACTTTTTGGAGAAAGCAACAGCAAGCCAGTCCCATTTCCCTCTGATGTAAAACCGGGGTGAGCAACTATGGCCCCTTCATGACCTATGGACTTCAACCCCCAGAATTCTCAAGGCAGCATGGAGCTGATTTCCACAGGTCATAAAGGGGCCAGAGTTGCCCAGCCCTGTCCTAAAAGGACCTAGGAAGGGGCAGGGATGTGAGACTTACAAGAGGTGGGTGCTGGAAGGTCTGATGGAACTTGCCAAAGTCCTCACACTCTGTGTTGTGTCATTATAGCCACTTTCGCAAGTAATGCGACTAAACTTCCAGAATCGCCCGGGATCCTCGATGAACCAGTCTGTGGTGGTCAGCAAGGCCAAGAAAACCATCACCTACTACATCACAACTTCCAGTAACCAAACCACCGCCATCTTGTTTGATTGCAAGAATGTGAGCATGCACTGGGCTGCCTTTCAAAGTTAAAGGGGAGAACATGTATCTATCTGGGGTTGTGTCCATTTCATAGGGATGTGAGGAGAGGGAAGAGGCATGTTCTGTCAACAGCTGGGTCTCTTCAGCAATTTTTAGGACCGGACAATGAGATGGGAAGGCAGATGCCCCATTCTGGCAGCAGGTGGCTGGGATTCTATGTTGGCAGCCAGCTCTAGCAGGGGTCAGTCAATTGCCTCTTGATGGCCCTGGGCTGCTGCTATCCCCTCCCCAGGAGGAAAACAGGCTTGCTGCTCATTGGAACCCACCCCCCCGCTCTCTGAGACGGGAGCGAGTGTTGGGTGTTCCAGAGTTGAGATTCTTGTCTGACAGGCACACTCTGATTCCCCCAAACCCCAGAACCTGGGAGAATCCTGAAAGCCTTTTCCCGTTCCCCACATCCACAGCGTATTTGAAGGACAGAGGTGCAGAGATCAGTTTCCAGTGGGGTTGCCTGGAAGGTCATTTATTGATGTGGAACATTGATATGGCCGCTTAACTCGGTCTCAGTGAGTCCAGGTGACTTCCAGAAATGAACCGTTCTTGTTCTGTTTCTTTGCTGGGGCAAGTGAACAGGTCTGGATGGCTCTTTGGCATGTGGGAAGGGCATCTCCCAAGCTTGGACTGAGGTCTGGTGTAACCCGGAAGGGGGGGGGGCGGCTTTAATGCAGTGATCTCCAATCTTTCCAGCTTGTGTAGCTGAGGCAGTGGCAGTGAGTGGGAGGTGGAGAAGGGATGATTCTGCGCAAGTGGTAGGCATGCCCATACACCACTCATACAAATGGCATTTTGTTTGTACGTTCGCCTACCACTTGGGCAGCCGAGTTCCAGACAGGCTGTGGGCCTCATGCTTTGCCTGGTTCTCTGTGTAGGGTTATGTCTGTTATAAGCTGTCGGGGCACAGCAATTGTTACCTGAAGAGGATGAATGCCCAGGATCAGGATGCTGCCCAGGCCTCCTTCAACCTATCAAAACACAAGGTGAGTGCCTGCAACAGCCTGGCCTAAGAAGAATCTCTCCAATTAATTTGTCCATCCATCCATCCATCCATCCATCCCCTCCTTCTCTCTCTCAGCACGAGGGCTGCCTCTGTGGGGCAAGGCATCCTCTCTTGCCAGGCAGCTCTGGGTGCAGGAGGCAGCTAGTCTCCCAATCTCCAGCAGGCATCCCTGGGGCACTAAATAGGAGAAGGCTGGCATAGCCAAAGGGCATAAGGCAACCAGTTTCCTTCCTTAATTCATCACTCCATTAATCAGTTCCGACTCTCTTCAGTTGCTGAACTCTCTCTAGGCTGTGTGCAAAAAAACCACCATGAAAAACAGATATAATGGTGGAGAGATTTCGGATTAGCTGTCAAAGCAAGATGCCCTCCACTCACAGGAAGAGTTACATCTCCGAATGTCAGAAGTGTGTCTTTAGGATCAACGCCCGAAGCCCATGGTTGCCTCAGGGCTTTGTTTGCAAGCTACTGCCAGTAACCCAACCAGCTGGTGGTTTGTTTCCTCATTGTCTTTTCTGAGCTTGTGAGGCATTTTTAACTTGCTGGCACTTGTTCTAAAACAAGGGTGTGCAACCTTGGCAACTTTTAAGACTTTAACCAGCATGGCTGGCTGGGGGATTCTGGGAGTTGAAGTCCAAGTCTTAAAAGTTGCTAAGGTTGGACGCCGCTGCCCTAATGGAAAAGCAATAGATAACATTCGAGAGGTTGGCAACTCATGGCTAGCTTTGGGAGATTCCCGTCAGGTGAGTGGAAACAAAGCCACATTGTCTGAAAGGCTGCTGCCACTGGAAAAGTCAGAGCGAGGGGGCGTCAGGCCTGGAGGGCAGAGGTCCGATTTCTGGAAGACAGAGGGCTCTCTTTGCTGCAAATGTCAGAAGGAAGCTGGCTGGGCTCAGGTTTCTGCTCTGTCGGGTCAGGAGCTGCCGTTCCTCACCAATGCAGCTAAGACGCCTCCAGAGGCAGAGAGGGAAGAAGGGGGGATGCAGTGCACCTGTTCACATATCCCACCCCCTGGATATCCAGTTCAGGGTAGCCTTAGGGCCGGGGTGTTGAACTCAATTTCACTGAGGGCCGCATTAGGGCTGTGGTTGGCCGTGGGGGGGGGGGCAGGCATGGTGAGTGTGGTGTGGTCAGCTTGACACCCCTCACTGGGCGTGGTTGACTGGGTGGCCATGTCCAGCATTGACGCCACTCCTCAAACTGCTGGCATATTTCCTCTTTGCAGTGTGTAGACTGGGCTGAAGTGACGTGGGATGGCCCCTTACATTTTCCAGATCCGACATTGCGGGCCGCATCCAGCCTGCAGGCCTTGAGTTTGACACCCCTGCTTTCGGGCCTCTCCCAAAGTGGCAGCCCCAGCCAAGGGGTCTCCAAAGTTAGCAAATTGAAGACTTCTAGACTTCAACTCCCAGAATTCACCAGCTAGCCATGCAAGTCTTCAATTTGCTAACTTTGGAGAGTCCTGAGTTAGAGGAACAGCAGCCTCTCGGTCCCTTGTGGCTGCAGTCTAGAAAGCACTCCCGGGGCAAATCTGGTCTTTAAATGCTTCTTTTGGGGAGAAGCAGCATGGAAACAGATTAACAGAGTTGGAAGGGAACTTATAGGTCTTTTAGTCCAACACCCACCCACCCCGGCTCAAGCAGGAGACCTTACACCATTTCTGACAAATTTGCAGTCTTTTCTTGAAAGTTTCCAGTGATGAAGTTCCCACAACTTCTGAAGGCAACTTCTGTTCCATGGGTTGATTGTTCTCACTGTCAGAAAATTTCTCCTTATTTCCAGGTTGAATCCCTCCTTGTTCCCGTTTCCATCCATTATTCCTTGTCCGGCCTTCAGGTGCTTGGGAAAATAACTTGACCCCTTCCTCTCCGGGGCGGTCCCTCAAATATTGGAAGACTGCTATTGTGTCTCTCCTGGTCCTTCTCTTCACTAGACTAACCATGCCCCTTCTTGAGGGATACCAGGCAGGTGGAGCGGGCATTTGGTACCCCAGTGCCTCTTCCGGGAAGCGCTTCCCACGGTTCAGCAGTCTGCAACGGGGGTCCTGGGACGCAGGGGTTGAGTGGGTCAGTCTGTTCCCTGAGCCATGCTGAGGTGCCCTCACCATCCTTCCTTTCTTTGCTAGGAGGACCCACTGCTGCTTCCCAACCACGGCTCCCAATACTACCGGGAATTCTTAGGGGTTGTGCCAGGGAGCTTGGTGCAGCCGGCGGAGGCAGGAGAGGCTGCCCGGGCTCTGTGCAAGCAGGTGCCCATCCGCTGGGTTAAGAAGAAAGATGGTAAGTTGATGGGCGAAGCTGTGCCAAAGCTCCCAGGGGGTCTCTGCTCCCTTTGAGTTGCAAGTTAAACTGAAATCCCCCTGGTGCCAATAAGATGTGCCAATGCTGGCATTTGTTGGGAGCTGCTGGCAGCAACATCTCGTGTCCAGAGGCTCCCTTTCTAACTCAGAAAGTGTAGTGAGGGTGGGCATCTGGCCTCCATCACTGGCACAGGCGGTGTGGTTGGGGCAAGGACGCACCTGTTGGAGCACAGCTAAGTTAGTTTAATTCATCTGAGGCAAACCTGGCAGAAGAGAGCACATCTGGCCTAGGGGTTAAGGCACCTGGCTACATAGAAACTGGAGTTCAAGTCCTGGCTCAAGGCACAGAGCCAGCTGGGTGACCTTGGGCCAGTCCCTCCCTCTCAGCCCTGGGAAGGAGGAAATGGCAAGTTAAGAGTATTTTCTGAAGTATAAGATGCACCAAGATTTTGAAGAGGTAATTTTTTTAAAAAAGTTTTTGCACTCTGCAGACCTCCCAAACCCTCTGCATACCTCATTTTTTTGTGAAAAACAGAGCATGCAGAGAGTTTGAAAGGCGTGCAAAGGGTTTCTGGGGGCTGGAGGAGAATGAACAAAAAACAGCCAGTTTTTTGCGAACGTAGGCTTTGGGAGGCTTGTAGAGTGCTCCTGGGGGCTGGGGCGGGGGGGGGGGGGGCAAAACCGGGCAAGAAATTGGCTGTTTTTCGCTCATTTCTGCCCTCTCCAGCCCCCAGGGGCACTTTGCAGACCTCCCAAACTCTGCATATTTATTTTTGCCAAGGAGCCGGGGTTTCGAGAGGCCAAAAATGCTATATTCAGTGTATAAGATGCACCCAGATTGTCACCCTCTTTTGGGGGGGGGGGAAGGAGCGTCATATCCTTCAAAAAAT